CGGGGTGGTTTTTAGTCAGTAAGAGTCTGACACTCCCTCCCGCCTCACCCAGGCGGGAGCAGTCATTCGATGATTTTCCCCCCTTAAAAAAAAAACTCCTGTAGATTGACATCAAAGTAAAGTGACAGAAAGAATACCAACATTCAGACGATAAAATCAGTCAGCTGATTGTTGTGTTATTGATAACGAACGTTACCTGTCAAATAATCTAAAATCTATCAAAATCCCGACCAGACAAACCAAACTCTGTCAAACAGTGTGAATTGAATTTGTTGCTACAATAACAAATACTTAATTAAAATTTATATTTATTGATTATCATCCAAATTAGTGTAAAAAACTCAACATTATGAGTGACGATCTCGACTTTTTGTTCAAACCAATAGTATTGATAACCGGGTTTGGTCCTTACTTGAACCACCCGGTGAATGCTAGCTGGGAAGCAGTGAAAATAATGAACAAAGAGGCAATTGAGAAGAAACATAATGTAGAGTTTGTTCAAATAGAGCTGCCAGTAACTTACGAGAACGTGGACGAATTCGTTCCTGCGCTCTGGGAAACACATACACCAAAGGTAGGAGAATTACAGATGTTGGTCTCTTTCTTTTTAAATACTTATTAAAATAATTTTCTGAAAATGAATCTATCACCATAAAACACTCTTGAATGAAATAGTTTTCTTAAATTCATGATGTAACCAAACTATTTTATATGTTAATTGACATGTAATATTACTTAAATAAAGGTAATTTTATTAAGTAAATATTAATAAATACAAAAGGTAAATTAATTCTAATATTATGAACTAATTGAAATTAGAAGGATTTTGCCTCAAACTATAATAATTATTGTATCAACTCCACCGTAAACAATGTGTCAATCCACATGTAGTATAGTAGTAACACCCGAATACTGAATGGCTATTCAGTTTTAAGTTGCGCCATCTTAGTCATTTTTCAAAGAATTTGTAGTGTCAAATATACTTAAGCGTGACTTAATATTGAGTGGCATTTGAGTATTTGTACATAAGTTTGTTAAATTTAAATTTTGTAGCTAATGATACATGTAGGAGTATCAAGCAAGGGTCAGTGCTTGCAGCTAGAATCCCAAGCACATAGAAAAGGTTACAAGAAGAAGGACTATTTAGACAAACTACCAGCAAACTGGTCATGTCTAGCTGATGGAGCAATCAGATTACACACCAAACTGGATGTGGAACGAATCTGCAAGGAGTTTAATGGTGACAACTCACCTCAAGAGAGGTACAGAGCTGAAGTATCATTGGATGCTGGACGGTAAGCCTCTAAATTCATATTTAAAATATTTCTGTTTGGTGTTGTAAGATCTGACTGTAGTATTACTTGGTTTTATGATAATTTTATTAACTATCTACTTTCGCGTGATTTCACCTGCTTTGCTAAGCTCCTATTGATCGTAACATGATGTTTTATAGCCTACAGGCTACAGCCTTCCTTGATTAATGTGCTCACTAACACAAAAAGAATGATTCAAATCGGACTAGTAGTTTTGGAGATTAGCGCATCGAAGCAAATAAACTCATCAATTTCAATGGTATAACATTGTAAGGTGTATCAGTATGGTATAGCCTAAAGTTGTACCTAGTACAATATTCTAATTACAGATAGTCATATAAATATACATACCTAATTACATGAGCTATACATGACAGAATTAAAGAATATATTTATGTTTTGTTGTAACAAAGAATTGTATTCACTTGTAATGAATATGGCAAATAAAATATATGATTTGCACAGACTGACTAGTGATAAGATAAGAGATGATATTATTATATATCTCGGAACTAGCAATGATGCAAACAGGTGTATCTCATCAGCAGTCATTTTGATAACAAATATTATGTTCAATGCTGATTCTGAAGTCATGGAAAATCTATCCCATTTTTTCTGCCCTGAATAATATTTTTTGACTGTCAATTGGCATAAATAGACAATGTTTCATTTTACCACCTGTAGTTGATATATGCATGATTCTTACAATGCTATGTTATCAAATCAAAATACTAATAAAATAGTTATTGTGTAGGTCATACATATAATTTGTTGTTTTGCCAGTAACCTACTAGAATGGATTTAAGTAATGACATAACACCCGCTCTGCTCGGCTCCTATTGATCATAGCTTGATGTCTTGATGTTCTATAGCATATTTATAACCTTCCTCGATAATCCAAAACAAAAATAATTATTCAAATCTGACCAGGAGTTTCGGAAATTAGCGCGTTGTAACAAACGAAGTCGTTAGCTTTTTATATAACAGGTATAAGATGAATATAATATACTCTTATTAATTTATATATAAAGCTGAAGAGCTTGTTTATTTGAACATGCTAAACTCTGCAACTACTCTGGTTTGAATCTTTTTTTGTTTGTGGAACACTATATTATTATGTTCAATGCTGACTCTATTCCATAAAAAAATAGTAGGTAGGTACTAGTTATGTAAATGAGGCTAAATGCTTGGGGAGAGCATCAGTTAATTTTAATACCAGTATGTATCCAGGAAACCCAATTACCTACGTCATTTACATCCTATGGGATTTTTTCCAATATGTTTATCCCAATCATTGTGGTTTTGTACCTTGTATTTAATAATTATTTATTATTTTATTTCGATTTATTCTAGAACTGATTAATGTGCCTACTTATTTTTTCCTGCTTATGTGTTTACGCACAAACTGAAATAATAATTACGTGTCAAATAATTAAGTACCTAGCTATTAGGTAGGTACTACATAATGTACATATTTAAATAAGATTTTATAGCAGTTATAATGTAATTATGGTTTCGAAAAACTAGGAAATAAGGATAAAGAAGTAGGTAGTTGGTTACGTTTTAATACATAATTATAGGTATTAAGTTACTTAGCCTTTCACATGGGAGAGCAATAGTTCGGCAAGAATAGGCCGCGCTAAACAACCTTTGCATTGTGTTTGGCTGTTGGCACTGCGAGTAATAGGGTACCGCAGACACAAGCGCCTGAAGCAGCGCGCAGCGGTTTGGCCATAACATCACTTCTTTGTCCAAAATGTCCTCTAGGCCTTGATGAGAGACGTAACCAGCCCCATGTATTGCAGGTATCTCTGCGAGTACATCTACTATACGTCGCTAAGTATAGACAGCAGCCGCACTCTCTTCGTGCACGTACCGGTCATGGACATCTACTCGCCCGAGGAGACCGCCAGTGGTCTCGAACGGATACTGGACCTCTGTCTCACACAAATCAACGAGAGAGGAGACTCCACCGATCAGGTGACAGAACAATTGAAGAACACTAAAGTAGTTGATAGTAATGACATATAATGTACGTAGATAAGTATTTACTTATCAATATTATATTATTATGAATATAATTATATCTATACATATTTATATAAACTGTATTATTAGTTTGTAAGATAAAATAGTTTCGTTTAAGTACCTATTACACATGGGTTCAGTTTTATCTTATATATTACAACAGGATCTAAGATTAAAATAAAGAAGGTACGTAATTACATAGCAGTTACCTACAGTAATGTACGCGTAGAGTAGGTATTACCTATATTAATTCCATTACTAGTAAAACGTAAGTACAGTACCTACTTGGTTAAAAACTAGTGTATTAGATAATTAGTAAACACATAAGTGCCTATGGCCTAAATACTATACTAATAGGAACCTACTTGGGTAATTTCCTCAAATATAATCAACAATACGATTATACAGGAATATTGCCTATATTACCTACCTATGTATGACAAAAATATTGTAAACACATGTTCATTGTAAACACTCTTCATCTCAGCATTCCTTTGAAAATGAAATAAATAGTGCTGAATTCCAATAGGTAGCAGATATATTTTGTTGAATAATTTATAAGACTATTTTGTTATAAGTTATAATTAATTAAATGTTCCGTGTTACAATTTGATGACTTTTATTTTTGATTCATAAAATAATTAGGTATAATATAGGTTTAACAGCTTTTAGTATGTACCTATAGACTGCTGTGCCTTAGGTCACCAGTGGGAATTTCTACAACATTGGTAGGATTTTTTTATTGGTTTTCCTAGTTTCGATTGTTGACACCAGTGACTAGCAGTCAGCCATGAGTTTGTTGAATGTGAACGTACCTATTTTCACATTAAACTGTAGGTACCAATTTTTATAATGTATTTTTTTTAAGGTGGGAAAATCATCGAATGACTGCTCCCGCCCGGGTGAGGCGGGAGGGAGTGTCAGAATCTTACTGACTAAAAACCACCCCGTTCCTTCTCCTGCACGTCGAGCCGGAGCCCCGGTAACGGGCTATCGGGGCTCCTGTTCGACGTGCAGGAACCCAAAGCCACTCGAATAAGGTAGTCTAATTTTATGACATACCTAACTAACCTAACTAGCTTCGCCCACGTTCCTATGAAATAAAAATTGGCGTTATTCCAGACCGTAACCTATCTCTGTTTCAAATTTCATCCCGATCCCTTCAGCAGTTGATGAGATTAAGTAATAAATATGACACAAATTTTCGCATGAACAACTGAACAATAATATAATTAATATGAATTTCCGTTACTATTTAGGTAAAAGGAAGTCGATATGGACATCGTAACTCATGCTGTAAACGTTACTCTCGTTTAAACAGGTAATTTCCTAGTTATTTATTTATTTATTTATTTATTGCAAAATGTATATACATAGTGGTATTATACTACTAGTACAGTACCTACATCACCCTGTTAGGGCGCAGCAATTTAACTTATAAATAATAACTAAATAATCATATAATATATTATGTACTTATTCTAATCATTATTAACTTAATTACTCACTATAAACTTATTACTATTAAAAATTTTTATCACTTATACCTCTATACCTATATGACAATTATATTATTTTATACATTATTTATAAGACATTTTAATTATAAACATTACAAATAATTTAAAGTAGCAACATTACTGAAATTGAGGAGAATTGAAATTATCACATTAAGTTAGGAACTATAATTACATATTAAAAATAAAATTAACTTAACTGGGGAAATATAATCTAACGAATACACATCTCTGTTACCACATTCACCTGAGTTTTATAAAAGCTCTATAAAATACATACTTAGGTTATAAAATACATAGGCTCTATAATTTAGAATGAATAC